AAAACCTCCATCAGAACCAGAACCAGGAGGAAAACCTCCATCAGAACCAGAACCAGGAGGAAAACCTCCATCAGAACCAGGAAGAAAACCTCCACCAGAACCAGGAAGAAAACCTCCACCAGAACCAGGAAGAAAACCTCCACCAGAAACAGAACCAGGATGAAAACCTCCATCAGAACCAGAACCAGAACCAGGAGACCTAAATCAGAACCAGAACCAGTAGGAAAACCTCCATCAGAACCAAAAGGGAGGAGAGCCTCAACATGCACTTTAACTGAACAAATTAAAGTGCAGTAGAAAGAAAATAAATAGATAATAATAATTCAACAAATGAACAGCAGTTTATTCTACTTTTTGTGTGTGTGTGTGTGTGTTTTATTGATGGTTGGATTCTAAATCTAATTTTTTCCGGAGCAGTTTTTGGTAGCAGGGGGACATCTGGTGGCCTCATCAGGGAACACATGAGAGACCCCAAACACACCAAACAAGACCCAAAAGTGTTGAAAATAACAACTAAGACACACTAAAACGATCCGAGACTCACGAGCTGGACCTTTGTAGACTTTTGTGTCTGTTTGTTTCAATTTTAATAGATTTCTGACTTTCACACCTGAGGTTTCTGTGTAATGTTTAAATTTGTACAGATTTATTTTCCCCATTTGATGAGACCACAACAGATAGAATTAGTCAAAAATCCTTGTTTTTTTTTTGTTTTAACAAAGGGAAAAAGAGCAGCACAAACAGGATTTTTCTGACAGCTTTCCTGAATACATAATCCTCTGATTATCCATTTATTTGTTTTGATAAGTCACTGTAAATATTTCCATTTTACACCATTTGAATTTCTACAAATGGGGGATGAGATTTCTTGACTCTAAATCTATGCGAAAGGAGTAAAAAGTGAAGCAGGAACAACAAACCAAAACAAAAGGTCCGCTTTGAGAATCAGAACGAGCCAAACGCAGAAACTACCGACTAATATCCAAATACAGAAAATCAAAAGCAAAACTAAAGTAAGTGGAGCTTTATTTTGGTTCTGTCCACTGTAAACCCGGAAGTTGATTGTACTCAAACCATTTTCGTCAAGTGATTGCCTTAAATAGTTTGAGTTATTGACAGTAGAGAAAATGTATTCAACTTAAATGTTCAATAGTCATAATTTAACATTTTCAAGTTACATACACTCAAATGGTTTAAGTTTTCAAACTGGAAATGTCTAGTGGATTCTACTTGAAAGTACAATAGTCCAAACTTAAGATTACAAGTCAAATACAATTAAAATTCTAGTTTTATTAAAAATGTGAATATATTAGATTTTAAAGTATTATAAGCATTGAATCATGCTTTTTGCAATGACCACACAATGCAGTACATTTCATTTATCTTATTTAGCAACAACAAAGCAGTATAAACATTACAGACGGGAGCTGCCCAACTCATGGAGCTGGTCAACAGAGTGCAGGTGTTGTGGACATTTTGTTTTAAAGCAAAAGTCTGAGTCCATCTGAGGAAGT